CACATCAGGCTCCTTGCTCGGCAGGGAGCCTGCTTCTCCCTCTGCCTCTGCCTACCACTCTGCCTGTGTTCAAGCTCTAACAAATAAATAAATAAAATCTTAAAAAAAAAGAAAAAAAAGAATTCAGTCTAATTCATTTAAGGGTCAAAAGGTAGAAGGAAATATTTGGGGTGTTATGAAACATGCTACTAGGAGTTTAAAAAAGGTGATACTACTGGTTTGCTTAATTCATAAGGAGAAAATAAGTATAAAAAAGTCTATGTACAGAGCTGAAAACAAGTGGCATATTTGTGTATGTGTATATGTGCCTGGGTTCATTTACATTTGGAGTATAATATTAATGTGTGCACACATTTTCATATAGGTGCTCTTGGCTTGTGGAAGGGACTGGAAGCAGAAAACAGCTCTAGCCCTTCGTGAAATGTCCTCTTCTGCAAGCACCCATGAAACCCTTTCTGTGGCAGCAGACAACCAGGGTTTTCAGCATCCACCAGAAAAGCTGGACTCTGGGACTGAGAGTTTCTTCCTACGTATAGAGAATAAGGCACTTTCTAGGTGCCTTATTTTTTCAATTCAAATCAACTTCTGAATTAGCTTAAATCTTTACATTCTTGGAAACGTAAGCATTAGATCACTACAGAATGCACCACTTGAAATTGAAGTTACCGAGCATTGGCAAGGCTGATACTTTGAAGATAGATTTTTCTTTCCTAGCTAAAAATAAATTTACAAACAACATATATTAAAATAATTTTATTAAACTCCAATGTTTGGAGTAACAAAATACTACTAGAATTTTAAAGGCTGAATTAAACCAAGAGGCAAACTAATTTTTTTGCTTCATAAGGAAAATCATAACAGGGGCGTCTAAGCACCTGCTTTTGGCTCGAGTCATGATCTCAGGGTCTTGGGATTGAGCCCCATGTCAGGCTCCCTGCTCAGTGGGGGAGTCTGCTTCTCCCTCTCCCTCTGCCCCTGCTCTTGCTCTCTCTCTTTCTAATAAATAAATGAATAAAGTAAATAAATAAAATCTTAAATAAATAAAATAATAAATTATAAATTATAATAGATTATAAATAAATTAAATAAAATCTTAAATAAAAAAATCTTAAATAAATAAAAAATAAAATCTTTGGGGGAAAAAAAGAAGAAAGAAAGAAAAAAGAAAAATCATTACAGCTCCCTTCCTTTAAACCATGGCAACATTTAGAGAACTATCCAACTCCCTTCCATGGCCTCTGACTCACCAAACGCAGGCTAGCCTCTACCGACACCAGAACCTCCTATCCCAAGCTTTTTCTTAGTGGAAAAGGTGAAAACAAGGTGCTACCAATAGCAGGTGCTTAAAAATCAGGTCTGGGACAGGAATCTATACATCGAAGACTGAAGAAAGGACTGAAATATTTATGTAAATCCTAACACGAAGGAATCCTCTGGTCTGTCCCCACCGTCCCCACAACACATGAGGAGAAGGAGAAGGCTCCAACATAGCTTCACACTTAACCAGGTGAATGTGATGTGTCCAACACCTGCACAGGAAGAAGGAAGGGTGGGGAGCATTCCTGCCACTTTCCAACCCTGATCCTTGCAGCTGGGGAGTGTGGACTGAGACCAGAGCCTCTTGAGGCCCACCACGCCAACACCACCAGTTGGCATGGCAACCCTCATGCCAGCGAAAAGATACTACCTGACACCACACAGAGAAAATTCCACATAAGCTTGCACCTTATTTTTACTTACTTCTTTCTACCTTGATGTAATATTTGCCTTAACTGTGGACAAATCTAGCAGGAGAACTGACCAACAGCAAGTTAAACTGAAACATTATAGTACACGGAAGGCCTTTCCTCACTCTGCAAGTTGCCTTTCAGTAAAAAATCCAACAAAAAGAACCCTTTCTCCATTCACTCAGAAAGAGTCATACTTTACTAAAGAAGCTGAGGGGGAGAAAAACCACCTCTAGTTCCATACTGTCATTCATAAAAAATGATTTCCATATAAGCATCATCGTACTGCACGTGGAGACCTTTTGGTAAAATGATACGCAGGACGTTAGTCAGACTTAGAAATAGGAAAGGCAGAAGTACACTATGGAACTGAAGTCTAAACCCTTCTCTGGTGGGGGAAGATATTATTTCCTTTGATAATTATGTCTCCCTGTCACTCCTGTTCCTGAACATGTCAAATATTTCTAATGATACAAAAAACCTCCAAATTTCTTCTTTTCATTACCCCCCGAGTGTCAGCACAACTAATTTAAATCGTGATTGCTTTTATTAAAAAATATTACTAAACAATAGGTGACAAAACTTTGAGAACCAAAAATGATTAACTTTGTTTAAAAAAAAATTATAGTATTTCTAAATTATTTTAAAAAGATATCCTAAATTTTCTAAATAATATCTTAATAACAATTTTAAGCATATAATACAAGACAATACAAGAGCTGTTCCGGAAAGCCTCTCACGTAGTGTGCTTCATTATTCAGACTCTCTTACAAGCCAGAACTGTGAATTAACCAAATTATACAGAGGGGTTGCTGGCAAAAAGTTAACATTTAAAAAAAAAAATGAGGCCAAATGTCAACAATTGGAGTTCAGAAATCACACTTTAAGCTAACCAATACATCATTAATCTCCTTGAAATTACTTATATCAGAGGTCTTAGAAAGCTAAAAACATGTAATTTAAATATATTAAAATATCCATGCCTCCCACCGCAGCACATTGCTTATTAGAGTGTGAAATCAAGCATTACCGCACCATTTCTGCCTGATGAGATAATTTTGGTTTCCTTGGGAATCTAATGCCAATACATTCATTTTTCCCAGGAAATAATTTTGCTTTTTATTTTGAAAGAAACTAATATTTGCAATGACCAGTCCCAGGTTTGTTGAATCAGAAAAATATAAAATGAAAGATTGGAAGAAGCATAAGAACCAATTTATTTTTAAAATATAGTGCAAACCTGGAGCAAGTAAACAATTTTCAAAGGCAGAGGCTCAATGGATATTTCATTTTGCTGAACCTTTATATTATTCTTAAGTAAAGTAACTTAAAATCAACTTTTGTAAGATTGTCAGCCTAAATAATGTTTCTACCATTGATTTTTGTATTTGGTTTATTCCCTTCTCTATTTTACATAAAGAAGAGTCCTTATACCAAGAACAGAATCAGATATTTTAATGACCGCATAGAACCCCGGACTTCTTCCTTTTCTTTTTGTTTTAATCTGGGCTTATGGAAAAACTATATCCCCTACATCCCTAAGCTAGAACTTTCAATATGTATTTTTCATGTATTTGTCTGAGCACTATTTCCAGACACTCTCTGTATATAGTTCACTGTGAATAATGTCCTTAAATAAATAAAAATCCAACTATATTGTATCAAAACCAAGTTTGGAAGTTTTTTGGTCTATATTATACAGAATTATTACTTTGCCCAACTTCTCACTTTTCACCACATAGTTTTGGCACTGCATAGATGGAGCTTTGATATTTTTAAGAAGGTAGAATTTAAAAGCAATAGCAAATTACTGCTAATTTCTTCTTGATGGGTGCTATTAACACCTATTAACATCAATAAGAGTAACAAGGTTATACCCAAGACAAAATATCAGCTTGGTCTGAATCATTAGAAACAAATGGAAACTTGGGGAAGGAATTTTAACATACTAGTAAAATATGGAATTTTTTGTGTTGTTATGAAGCGAATCACAGCCGTAAATCAGAAACAGCTTTTGAAAATAAGAATGATTATTAAGCTCTCCTAAAGGCAACTCTGAACTTGTCACTCACTTGGAATATTTCTACCCTAAAAAACAGTAATGCCTTACATGTAATTTCCTTAAGAAAAGCAAACACTTTAAAATGCAAAAAAAAAAAAAAAAATTTTGTATTTTATCCTAAGTGTAAAAATAAATATTTCACTAAGGAATGGGGAAAAAAAACGAAGCACATTTAAATAATTTTATTGCACTGGAAGTTGCCAATTCGTCTATGAGTAGTTTCATTGCAGATGAAAAGAAATCAAAATACAGGACAGATGTTGAACAAACCGCATTTAAGTTCTGTCACACACTGGCATTTTTCAAATGATTTTGGCTCATCTATTAAATAAGGTGTGTTTTGCTTGATTTTGAAAAGGGAAACATCAGGAAATATTTAAAGACCAATGGCCACCAATTAACTTTGATCAGTAAAAGTTCTATTTGAATCTTTCAGATTCTTCTCCTGTCTGAAATAACATACATTTATAAAATCTACCCAAACAACAACTTGATGATTAATGCCTGTTGGCAGGCCTACCACAAACTTACTTAACAGCAGGATTTAAATAAACAACTGTCTCTATTAAGAAAAGAGTGAAGCGTAGTGATTGTTGTGTGTTCTCATAATGGAGATAGGAGAAACAATATTCATTATTCTTAAGAATGCTGCTAATTGAGATCATCATATTTGACAGTGCCCATGACATAATTAATTAACCATCTTACAAAAGTTTCCCCCCAAAAATATAACGGGCAAATAAAATCATCAGCAGTTTGACCTAAGAAATCCCAGCAAGTCTAAGAGCAGAAACCTGGCTGAAATGATATACAACTGGGCCAGGCAGAAAGACAAGCAGCTGACCCAATAGGATGAAAGTCTGATGCGGACAGTGGATGCCACCATCACAGCTTTAAGGGATTCGGAAGGGAGCCCATCCCAACAGTAATTATGAAGCTGAGGAATTGGTAGCCTCTGATATCAACACAGTTTAATATTTAAAATTCTTGACATCAAATTTGAATCCTTACCAAGGGTCATGAGGAATCTAACCTCGAAAGGCAACAGTCAAAATAAAGAAGCCAAACATATTACCATATAATCAATAATCAATTTATCTCATAATTCTAGTTATAGATTCATAAAACAATATCTCATTGATATTTCAAGGCCACTTATCAATTTTCAGACATGCACCATGAAGTGTGTATATAAAATAATCAGAACTTACTTCTAAGTCATTGAAAAACAGATGTGTGTCTGCCAAGTTGAAAATCATTTCTTCCATTCGCAGTCCAAGGGAAACTGATGTAGGTGGATCCTAAAAGAAGAATTTTTCAGGTCAAGTATATCCTTCAGGTTCATGGACTACACTGTCACAGTAAGAGGGAACCAGTGCCAAGAAGGGCTGAGAGTAAGAGAGTCATCAGGAGATCGGGGCTCCAGCTGCTCTTGGTCTACGTGATCCAAACTTCAGCATGCAAACTTCAGTGACTTATTTAACAAGTGACCCAAATGTTGTTGGTACTTTGCATAATGAAGAAATAATCTGCTGCTTAAACTATTACAAAGATATAACACCTAGAGTTACGTAGACATACAAAGTAGAGGAAATTTAGTTTCATGTGCCTGTTTCAGGAGCAAGAAATTCAGTGACTGGAGAAGACATTGTTTATATTATGCCACAATCCATTAAGAGTATCTAAAAGCATTGCCACAAATACCAGAAAACAGATACAATGTAGATTAATTTCAGAGGGGTAATAAATACTACTTCTATTTCAGATGATAATTATCATTATTTCTTATTTATTCAGACCGTCTGCCAATTTTGAGTATACTCAAAGGAAGTGATGGCCACTTCTGACCACCTGGCACCATGCCCAGCCCGGGGAGCTGATCCTGACATTCATGTGACACTATCCCATTAACAAACAGCCAGTCCCATACACAAAGGGGAATACCAGCACTCTGAAATGGCTTCCATCCAAAACTTCAAGCCTTGGACACTAGGGATGAGCAGTCTGTCTCATCTACCCCATATCCTGATGACATTTACTGACACTAGATAAACTCAGGGGCTATGGAAATATTTGCAGTTTTTATGGTATTACTGTATTGGTAATGTATCAAATCCAGGAAACAACATGGTTCGTGGTGCAGACCCTGCATAATTAGTGAGGAAGGAAAAAATGTCCATAAAGGACACAAAGATATAATGTGAGTTTCTGAAGGTTTTTACCAACATCCTAACAACAATATTGGCTTTTACAAGTATGACATTTTAAATATTTCCAAACAATGATTTCTGAATACTATCTTATTATTTCAGCAGACCTTTGGAATAAATATAGATAGAATCCACCTGTATCATCGTCGAATTAGGGAAGTTGTAACTGGATAAATTATGCCTTCACATGTCACCTACTTGTTGGTGTACTCTCTCGTGTATCTACATTGTCCTACATAAACCTTGTATGCTTTGTGTATCGTCTTCTGAGCACACTGTCTTCATTCCAAAACTCAAGACTGGTCTGTGTCCTGCCCCCTACTCCCCACGTATTTATAATCTATCAAGCCCTTGAGTATTGATCTCAAGTACCATCTCCTCATGGACTTTGGGAAAGAGCAGGACGTGCTAGAAGAAGAGACCTGGACCCAGGCTCCAGGCTTGACCTTTCCTCTCTCACTTTGGTGTCCTTACTTCCTTCATCCTTAGTTTGCTCATCTAATAAGTCAGATGGCTAACTGACAAGCACTTTATTCTCATGTGCAATTAAAACAAAATTTCTCATCTCTTAATTGGGCACAACCATACCTATTCCTACACCTTGAAGAGAGCAGGGGCCTGGGACGGAGGGATGGGGGCGGAGACTCATGGCTATCAGGGCCAATCGGCTGGCTAGGGAGGAGGAGTCAACACGGCCCCTGCACCGCCCACTTCGCCAGCAGGGCTCACACCCGGCCAGCAAGTCAATGGTCTATCTTTTAGGAGTCCCTCCTTTGGAACTCCTGAAAGATAGATAGCGTTTGGGGAAGTAGAGCAGGATGACATTGCTAGTCTCAATTCCTGCCTTGTCTAGGCCTTCTCTTCTCACTGACAGTGAGGAAGAGACAGGGAACACAGTGTTGCCAAAAGTCAGGGATTAGATTGGCAAAGGGGCAAAGAAAAACACCCCAGGGTTTATAACAGGGCAGAGAGGGAAGAAAGACAAACTGAATGTTCAAGAGCTGGGTAGAGAAGGACAAATAACACTGTCCTCAGATTTCCTGTTTGATGAGTTTAAATTATTGCTGTTTGGGGCTCCTGGGTGGCTCAGTGGGTTAAGCCTCGGCCTTCCGCTCAGGTCATGATCTGAAGGTCCTGGGATCGAGCCCCGCATCCGGCTCTCTGCTCAGCAGGGAGCCTGTTTCCCCTTCTCTCTCTGCCTGCCTGCCTCTCTGCCTACTTGTGATCTCTCTCTCTCGCTCTCAAATAAATAAATAAAATCTTTAAAAAAAATAAAGTATCCCTGTTTAATACCACCTTAAAATCCATGCAATTTTGTAGATTGCAGAAGAATTAAAAATAGTTCACAAGTAAAGAAAAACTTTCACTGAATCTCAGTTTTATAGGAAATTGCTCACTCACTCAGATTCCAAATCAGTAAAGTGTGCTGGAAAAAGCAATTGCTCAAATATACCCTAGAGCAGAACTAACCAGTAGAAGTTCAAACAGCTGTTTCTAAAACAAAACACCTGACTAAGGTGTTTACTTCCTCTAGCTCAGGCCAATAAAAATACACTGACTTGCCTCATAACCATGTCAATGAATCTTTTTATGTGGCCAGGTGGAAGAGACTCACCACATTTATTTAATTGCCAATTTTGGAATTTATGTGCCATGGTATTGTTACTTTTGAAAAAGTATGATTTCTCCTTGGTAAGGTTGCTTACTTATACCACCATCAAAAGAATTACTCCATTGTTTGTTAATATATAGCATACTTTAACTTTACTTCATAAATTATAGTAATGACTTGCTAGTTGGAATACTAATAAATTTTAAAGGCTTGTTCAGACTTGTGGTCAAATACAACACAGATGTTGGCCTTATTTACCTTTTCATGTTTTTCTCCTTTGTTATTAGCTGTCCTTCCTTCACATTTTTTATACCTGCCGCTCCTCTGTATTGTTATGAACCATTTACTACACCAAAAAAACAGTTTGACAGTGAACTGGAATGAGAGATTTTTAGAATAGGAAGGGGTTCTAGTTGAGAATACAGTTTCTCAAACATTTTAAAATCACATTCCATGTTCAAAAATACATTTTCCATGATGGTCTAGTATTCTCTCTCTCCTTCTTTCTTCCTCTCCCTCTGTCTCTCCCACAAAAAGAGCCGAAATGAAGATCTGTCAAAACAAGACTTTACCCACTATGCAGAGTGCACTCTGATAATTTTCCATTTCGTGGCCCACTCATGTATCAGGACCCACAGTTTGAAAAGAAGAGATCTGGAGTATACCCCCTTGTGATTTTTAGAGACAGGGAAATGGAGTTGTAGCAGTGATCTGATCTGCTCCTGGTACAGGGCTGACTGGCTGGCAGAGTGCATGGGGCGCCTCGCCCACAGTCGTTTACCTAAGAGGAAACTAGCAGAAGAGCAAACAGATAACCGTGTTCACAGGTTTGCTTACACTGGAGTGCTCATATTGAGGTGAAATTTATTTTATAAAAATCTTTTAATACCTTCAGATTTTTCGACTATATCTGATACAAGTCAAATGTGACAAAAGCCAACAGTGAACAGTTAATAAATTAGTCATAGCTTGATGGCTTATTTTGGCATATTTAAAGGAAGAAAAAACCCACATTTTTTAGACCAAAACTGAGACATTAAAATCACCACGTCTTTGGCTTAATCTTACTTTTCTTGTGCTTTGCAATAACAAATTCCAGAGCAACAGTTATAAAATGGATGCTTTTATAAAACCATTTTTTTTGTTATATCACTTTTGAAAAATTATTTAGAACTTTGCCTCCACTTCAAAGAAACATGTCATTTAAGTAAACCTTGGGGCCAAATGTTCCCATTTTTTTTTTTTCCCCCAGAACTTGACCCTCTGGGGCTCTTGTCACTGTTGTTCAATATCTTCTTGACATTTCTCCTTCCTGGTACCTATAACATCATCACTATTTTTTGAAGTTATCTTTCTAGAATCTGAGTACCCATCATCAATCCCTTAAATGATATGGGCCCCTGGGACTGTTTTATCCATTCCTCACTGTTGGGGTCTGCCTTACAGACCCCAACACACTCATGGCTTCAACAATCACCCCGCTCCCTTCTACTAAATCTTTGATCTCAACTCGTATCAGTTACCTGTGGGTCATTTCTAGCTGGATGTCCCATATAGCATCTGAAACTCAGTGTGCTGCATGTTGGATTCATCATAGTTTCTCTGGAAACCTACTGTTTTCCTTCTTTAGGAGAATGGCAACCTACCAGCCCCAAACCTTGGCATGCTTTTAAAGAGCCTCTCTTTACCCCACATCAAATCAATCATGACATCTTGCCATTTGGATCCGGAATTCGTGCCTTTCTTGTACTCCCTACTCTCCAACACTCCCCCTCCCCACATCCCAGCCATGTGCCTCCTCTGTGGATATCTGCAATAGTCTCTTTTCCTGGGTTCTATGCCCAGGCTCTCACTATGACAATGTCACTCTCCCATCAATTTTAGAAAACATCCAAACACTTCAATAAGTACTAAAGGCCCATAAATGTCAGACTCTTACTTACCTCCCTAACATGTGACCAATTTATAGTTTTTCAAACTATTTATCTTGAAATCTTTTCTTCAAAAGTTGACTAAGCAGAGGCCTTATATGAAAGAGGAGGGTCTTTCAGACATCCATTGACAAATGAATGGATAAAGAAAATGGATAAAGAAAATGGATAAACACACACACACACACACACACACACACACACACACACACAGTGGAATATTACTTAGCCATCAAAAAGAACGAAATCTTACCATTTGCAATGACATGGATGGAACTAGAGGGTATTATGCTAATTGAAATAAGTCAGTCAGAGAAAGACAAATGTCATATGATTTCATTCATATGTGGAGTTTAAGAAACAAAACATATCATAGGGGAAGGGAAGGGAAAATAAAATAAGAGCAAAACAGAGAAGGAGGAAACCTAAGAGACTAACTATAGGAACAAACTGAGGGTTGCTGGAGGGGAAGGTGGTGGGGGACCAGGTAACTGGGTGATGGGCATTATGGAGGGCACTTGAAGTAATGAGCACTGGGTATTATTTGT